CTGTATCATATTTTTTAGAGCATTTGTCTATTACTTTACTTATGACTAGCTGTTTTCCCGCGGCTTTACCAGCTTAGATTATAACCTACTTATTTCACCCGCATATGATGTAACCACAGAGTAGAGTATTCTGAGAGATAGTTTCCCAAAGGTGAAAGAATTTTCATAATATGATCAGTATTTCCGAAGATTAGCCCTACAAACAAACGGAGTTGTAACTTTATAATACTTAAACCACTTTATAATATCAATATAGAAGAGGTTTATTTAGAGATACGATACTAAGTATTGCATTTTCATTATCCTATTTATCTCATTACCCATTGTTTAGACATTATTTCCATTGCAAAAATCTATATACATATTAGTGGCGTCCGTCGCGTCGCGTCACATCTGTACGGCCGGCGCGGCGCGTCGCAGCGACGATTCATACTCGATAAATATATTGTCGTTGCGTCCGAAATAACAAGCAATCCGTTCCAAATTGATTAACTGTACTTTGCAGTGCGCCACTTTTCTGATTTCATCTGATTTAACTCGACTTTTACATATACTGTGTATAATTTAAACAGACAATTCTTTGAACAATGTCTACTCCTACCTCAACGTAGTGTTACCAATTCGAAATTTTAAAACTAGTGTTTGAAACAAAAGCCAACGTGGTAATAAAATATCAAAAATTTTATTAATTTTAGGGCTCACTGTGCATTACTTCTGTATAAAGAGATAATGTCCAAATAAGCTGTAAATAAAAATGAAAAAGTTATCATATTACTTTGTCAGTTATATACTCTTTTTTATATAGAAAATTGTTAAATATATATATTTGTATACTGTGTAGTCGCGTGCTCTATGTAACACTTATACAATTAATTAAAAATATCTTTTTACGCGCTATTTGCTATTTATCTCATTTAGTAACAGTAAAAGTAATTTCTTTAAAAATCACTTTTTTTGATCTACCTGCCCTCCCGAAATGTCCTGGGAAAACGGAATAATTGGAGACCCTCAACGAAAGATGTAAGATGCTTTAAACAGTCGTATCCTCGATTATGTGACATTTCCTTTCCTTTTGGGGCATACTTTTGTTGATATGTACCACGATATAAATTAATACATAGTTATTATTGGAATGCGGATGTTTTTAAATGTATTTATGATAACATAAGTTTGTCCCAAAATTGTGAAACTGGTTTTTGATCATACATCTGTTTCCTTCAGAAATATCTATGTGATTACTATAAGTAATTCAATCGTTTATTTATCCCCTTTTAAAGTCATCTTCAGCAGATTTTTTAATATTGTTTCAATATTGTGCTATTCTCGGTGAGATTTCACTTGACAAAGAAAATCATTAAGGTTCACGATGGATTGTATAACAATTCGCATCGTTTCTGCAACCGTCACCCGATGATGTTACATCAACACTATCTTGTAACATCTTCCGTGCTAAACGGCGTTACAAATTTGACATTTTATATTTAGTAACCTGTTTATCGTCGATACTATACCCACTTAAAACTATCCATCTCATCCCAAATAACCCTCGTTCTAAATTAATGTTAAACTGGAAAGGTCAGTTTGGTTTAGATAGCAATAAAATTATGAAGTTTTAGTCTTCCTTTTGCTAGCAACTCTATAACGAAAAGAGTATCGTTTCAAAGGTTCATTTATTATTTATATTTCAATATTTTGCTTTATTATACTATCTGATAGAAAAACACACAAAAGTCGTAAATGTAAAATATTTATTACTATCAATCGATGACTTTTATTAGAATGAAAAGTTCTTTCTAAGTAATTTGTGTTCATGATTTGGTCTGTGTAATCCATGACATTATAATATCTTGACAGACACAATAGATGATGCTAATATATCAACTGTCATCGATGTCCTACGAGCTGTTCTTGTTTGAAGAATTTGTTAAAATGTTGTGTAAATTACCTAAAGGACGATTATTTTGATGATTATTTTTAAAAATATCAAAATGTATAATAAACCATCTGCAAACTTATTACACAATAACACATGGAAATCGTAACAATATAAGTAGCGTTCCCTCAGTGCCCCATAGTAGGGTTGCGAACCGTACTCTAAAATAGACTATTAGTACTCTATAATCGATAACGAATCAGATATACTCTATTTCTTGTAATATAAGTTTGCCACTCTACCTTAAAGTGATGCCATCCTATTTTGTTTATTTTAAAGGCACCTTTATTTCTGCTGATTGTGCCTATTCTTTAATTAGGTACATATAAAGGTAAAGGTCACCAGGAGGAAATACTGCGAGTGATCACGGATCACGGATCGTTGCACAAACGGACCGAGTGTATGTCTGATCGTGTTACATTATGCGTTGTACATGAAGCCGCAGCCCGCACATTAACCGCCGCTGCTTCTAAATAACAAAATGCACTTAACGTTCACATATTTTATTGATAATAAAACTTACGATGAAATAAAATTTCACAATAGTATAGCTATTACGTGGCGCCACGAATGGATAGACTTGTAATATATATCTATCCATTTAATCATACCAAAATTTTAGAATTCTGTCTTATTATAAGTTATTATTCATGACGAGTTTTTTCACTTGTTGGTATTTAAAAAATTGCCATTTGACGTTCGAAGGCAGGTTTCTTCTTGATAAAACCACAATTTCAAGACTCAAAATCATCAATTTGCAACTCGCCAATATTATGAATATCACTATATTTTTTTTCATCAAAAATATTTCTCAGTATAGCATTGTAAATGCTAAATTGGTTAAATATAATAATCACTATATTTTATCAATCGTTATTTAATATCTTTTTTACATCAGTTATTGCTTTTTCTTTCATATATATATATATATATATCTATTTCATGCACATTATTGTCGCATTCAGACCTTCAACTTTACAAGTAGTTTGATCAAGACCGTTGACAACAGTTAGACACGTCACAATCATCGCTTGTTATACAACTCATTGTTCATCCGCAGCGTAGTTTACAATGAACTTATTGGGGTGGCTTTACATTAGGCGGATTAGACGTGCTGATCCACAGCACCGCCTTCATAATAGGTATGTACATGGGGTGGAGCATCCGCTATTTGACTTAAGCCATGTGCTAGGTCCGCGAGGAATGTGGAGCTAGAGCAAAACCAACAGGTTACTCGCAGATGGTTTTACCAGGCAGGCTGACCACGTCTAAGCCTGACCTTTTCAAGACGGGTGCGGGGTCTGAGAGCTCTGGTTTTAAGGCATAAGGTTCATTTTCCCTGCGTTAACAAAAAAAGTTCTGCAGCGGATAGTGTCACAACAGCTCGCTGGCCGCGCTACGTTCATCAGGGTATGCGAATTGCACTTTCCTTCAACAAAATAAAATGGCTCTACATTTGTGCCAGTCACATTCGCCTAACACGTGTGAAGTTAACATCTATTGTACGTAGTCGGGTTTATTTATTACTTATATTGGCTGACACTCGATAATTTTTTTAGGTCATCGGTGACATACATGACTCGAGTTGTGTATATCGAAACAACTCGTCAACGTTTGTCAATCATGGTTTTAATATACCACTATATTATGCTAGGCATCTAAAGCTCTATTCTAACCTAAATGTATAGGAGAAGGGAAAACAAAACAATATTTGATCTTTTGTCATACGTTATTAATTTCAATGGCATTGAAACAACGTATAACTATTCGTTAAATGTCAGAAGTGTGAAGCCCGCTTAAGGTAATAGGTTTTCAACGTACGTACAACCCGAACAAACAACGGGCACGCGCCGATGTCAAGAACCATGTTATTAAAACTGTATGTGAACTGAATTATACCAATTCTAACTGATCTCGGGAAATTACTTGTCATAATAAATAAATAACAAACAGTAGTCAATTTTGCTTAACGAGCCGTTTACACATTAATGTAATTGTATTTGCGGGTTGCTTACTGTCAAAATGTCACCTGCAATATAAAGTGAGAGAACCATTGGTGTGGCCCCTGTTGAACAATTGTCATTGTATCGTTACGACCCATTGTTGCAATCTGAAATTCTCATTAAACTCAGTAGCGCTAAATCTTATTTTAATAACTCTGATAATTGTAATTGGAGCTCGTTAGATGCAAGGACGTTTGCATGACGAGTTTTTTTAAACAGTGCAGTCGGACCACTTGCTACTAGAGTGATTTAGTTCATTAGTTACGTTATTATTTGTATACCCGTCCGTATAGGCAAACTAGGCAACTGCCAGGGGTTCTCGTATTTGGAGGCGGCATGTCATGGCAAACAGAATACTTTTTCCCCAACATTGAACCTTAAACAACTGACATTTTCAGCCCAGCAGTACCTAAGGTGTTTCTTTTGCCATCATAGTAAAATTACAATCTTTAATCGTAACTACGTTAGTATTTTATTTAGTTGTGATTTTCTATGGGTGTGATTTTAACGAACCAGCACTATTATTACCATTAGGCTATTGACGTATACTCAGTTAAAGCACAAACGTTCCTTTTAGATAGTAAAATCATATAATACATAAATTAGTAGCTAATGGAAAAAACTAATATATAAATGACAAATAATATATAAACCTATGGTTGTTTTTCGTGTCGCAACGGTGTCATTGGGTCGGTGGGTATACCACCCAAGGACTTGTTTTGTTTTGTACTTGGCACACTGGAAAGTGACATAGGAGACTCTTTATCGCAAAAAAATATCTTAATTTTCTCCCTTTGGTACACGTAGGCCATCCATCGGTATTATACATATAAACGTTCCTCTTGAATTACTCTGTATATTTATCAAAATTGCATTAAAATATGTGTTTAAAAGATCTCAACATACAGACAGCGGAAAGCAACTTTATTTTATACTTTGTATGTATAGCTATTAAACCGTAGAAAGATAAATTTGGTGTGATTAAAAATATGCCCTGTATAAGAAAATAATAATTACAAAGCAGCAATATATGTATATACTAATATGAATCGAATTGTCTACAGGTGGAGAAACCGGTCACGGAGGGATTATCACACAGAACACGCGACCAATGGGAGATTGATCGTTCCTCGCTCAAGTTCGTTCGCAAACTTGGTCATGGACAATTCGGCGAAGTGTGGGAGGGTCTATGGAACAACACAACACCCGTCGCTATCAAAACACTCAAATCGGGAACAATGGACCCCAAAGACTTCCTTGCGGAGGCGCAGATCATGAAGAAACTCCGCCACAACAAGTTGATACAATTGTACGCCGTGTGCACGCTGGAGGAGCCAATCTATATCATCACCGAGCTCATGAAGAACGGTTCTCTACTAGATTACCTGCAAGGTATATTTTAGCTATATTCGTCTTTAACTCGTACGAATTAACATGACAAAAAATTTAGAATCGTAATTATAATTTTGTTAAAATCATATGCGTGAAGAATAGACTAAATGTCCTTTTCGGAAAAATAGAATAAGTCTTCAAGTGTCATGTTCATTCGTATGAGTAGTACTTGCATTTTTCTGATATTCAAACAATCACGTAGATGCTTATCATTTTAGAAAAGAATAATTCAGATCTTTGGTTCCGCCTCAGTTGCTGTAATAAAAGTAGATATTGAGAATATTTCAATGACGATCTCCGCAGTAGAGTGACTCGCACGCTGGTTGTAAGGTTTAGCCATTTATGAGGTCCCGGGATCGATTATCGGACAGATCAATTTAGAAAATGAACTTTTCTATATTGTATCGGGTTTGGGTCTACTGGGTATAGTGGTACTTTCGTTGTTACAGGTGCTCCTTAATAAGAGAGCTTTAGCTACTTATTTTGGAATCTGAACAATATATGTGATATTAGTTTTGTTTTTTTTTTTCTTAATATATACTAGTTTTGAATAATCATTAATATTTTATTAACCAAGAAACTGCAATTTCTAGAACATACATTTAACTTTATGCAATAAATCTAATGAAACTGGACACAATAATAATGGAATGAAAACCTTGGATAAGTAATGTAATATTATATAAATAAACATACATTTCTTTAGAACAGTAGGTATAAGACGCTTGCAGATGCGCCGTAGACTTATTGAATTTACTCAAACTACCTAGCTGATTGTTTGGACCGTCATGCATTATATGAATATTGAAATATAAAAATATTGTTTGTTAAATCACCAACTTCTATGAATCAATTTAAAAATTATATCTATGCTCAGATTCAACTGACAGTTATTTTTTTTTTCAAATACCTATCTGCACTGCTGGTAAAATTGTTGATTTCAGCTTTATTTATGTAGAAAAATAAAAAGAATTCTAGGTACTTTTTTAAACATTTCTATTAGCAAATTTAATCTAGGACATAAATCTACAGTAAATCAACTATCACTTTCAAAATATTCTTATCATATCAGTAAAACCTACTTGCTTTCGTTTTTACATGCCTTCAATACGTATACCCATGGAGAGGGTAATTCGAACTTTTGCCACGGGCTCTTCACATAAAAGTTTGATCATAAAGACTTTAACGCATCGATATAGTAAAGGTGATTGATCGAGTCTCTTGTATTTTCAACGCATACAAACGCATATTTGAGACCCCCTTTTTACATTTGCAAATACCTACCGAGACTGCACCAACCCAAGAAAAAACGTGTGCACGATAGCAGCTCTTATTTTAAAAATCGTTCTAGCTTACGCTAAATGCTTATTTTTATTACGACCTTCAAATTATATTAAATGTGAATGCCGTTTACTTAATAATATATTGAATTTTTACGATCTTTGTTAATAATATATTGAATTTTTACGATCTTTGTGCCCTCTTAAGCACATACCAGTGCGTAAGAGGGCATATACTTCAAACATTACTATTTCGAATCGTTTTGTACGAAAATATAAGTTCAAAAAAGCTCTTAAGTTTAAACGAGAAAACATTGTCGTGCTCAATGTGACGTCGTTTGTCTTTGCGCCCTGACCTTTACACTGGTAATGTCATAATTTTTGAGATACAAAAGAAATAAATACCCGGCTGCACAAAACGTCCACTAAGGTTTAATGAACACTTTCAAGCTCTAATTAATGTTTTAAATTTCAAAATTTGTGTCGGTAATGTCTCTAAGCTAATGACAATTTAAGGCACGTTTGTGCAACTTGCTCTAAGCACTATAACTAGGGTAAGTGAATGATTATAATTAATATGATCGCATGTTTGTCAAACAGGTAGAGATTTAATATATGAGCCTTTAATATATGGGCAACAAAATATCAATCTGTTGTATGGCTGTTTATATAGATATTGGTTCCATTATCGGCATCACATAACTTAAGCAATGTCTATGCTATACATAAATCTAAATATATATAACTCAGAAGTGACTGACTGACATAGTGATCTATCAACGCACAGTCCAAACCACTGGACGGATCGGGCTGAAATTTGGCTTGCAGTAAGATGTTATGACGTAGGCATCCGCTAAGAATGGATTTTGATCAATTCTACCCCCAAGGGGATAAAATATGAGATGAATGTTTGTATGAAACTTTATCAATTTTAAACCGATCGGGCTGGGACTTTGCATGCATAAAGCTACTATTACATAGGCATCTCCTAAAAAAGGATTTTGATGAAACTTCAGGTATTTTACACGATATAATGAATAAATATTCGTTAGAAATGCTGCTCAAAGTAACTAAACCACGCGGACGAAGTCGCGGGCAAAAGCTAGTTATGTAATATAATTCTTATTTCAGTCCCTCTTTGTCTCTTTCAACATTGTTCTTGTGCGTGTTCAATAAATAGATACTTTTTTTTTATAGAATTTATTCACGATAACTTGATTTTTTAAGTATTTTTCTTTTGATTTCTTATATTTTCACGCACACTATCTATAAATATATATATATGGAACAATTTTTAAACGGTTTCATCGCGTTTGTATTTAGTTTTATTGACGTTTCTGTTTCATATATTAATGTTCATTAATAACCCCCGTTTATTTATTACCTTATTATTATTGAAAGATAATTAAAAATGTTTTACCACTTTCCTTGAGAAGGGTTATTAAACACCACATCTAATTATTATTCTACTGCGTACGGAAAATGTAATAAGCTGTATCTATAAAGGTAACGTTTATAATTTGACCTCCGTTTCTACGGAAAGTAAATAACTGAAATTCAATTATATAAGTATTTAGTCATGTTTTTCAATGAGCCAGTCACAATTTTTGCTACTGGCCTCGCATATTAAAGATTTGATAACTTTCAAGATGAAGTCTAAGCAGTACTTAACTTACGTTGCATTTTTTTAGCTTTAAAGTCTCATAAATAATAATTGTTCATAAACTTAGGTCCGTTTTCACTAAACTCAGGAGTCGCCTAAATTATGATATACTTTATGTGGTATCATGCGCTAGGTATTTGCGGAATTTGAAATGTGTCAAGGGATAAAAGAAAAATAAATATTTGGAATTCAACTGAACTACTTAGGCGATTCGTAAGATTAGGCGTTTCTTTATTTTTATGCCACCGTTAAATCCAAATAAGAATAATAGAAAGTTCTTCTTCTGGAGCTGCTGTACTATCATTTAATTGTAGACCCGTAGTCTCATAAGTACACTAGAAACTTACTTTGCGAAATTATTTGATCGTATTTTGTCCCTACGTGTTATCCAGAAAATTCCGGAGACGACCCTGTGGGAGATACGCACAACACATGTACTTAAGTGATATATAGTTCCAATTCGCACTTTCGCGTTCGTTCTCTTCTTATAGAACATTAAATCGAAAAGAACAGAAAATGCAGCGACCTAAAAGCAAACCAGAAAGCGTGGATTTTTAAGTGTGAATTTTTTATGAATGCCTCATGCAGCAAAAATTATAGGAAATTTTAATATCTAGACAAATGCTGCTGCATGATGCATTCATTAAAATTCACTCTTTACCTGACGGTTCTTTTACTTTGGTCTTTGCATTCCGATTTGTAGCTCAGTTTAAGTGGAGTTTATTTATACGAGGTATATTTTTTTCAATAGGTAAAGGCCGTGGACTGAAACTGCAACAGCTGATCGACATGGCAGCTCAGATCGCCGCCGGCATGGCGTACCTAGAGTCTCAAAACTACATCCACCGCGACTTGGCCGCGAGAAACGTGCTGGTCGCGGATGCTAATATCGTAAAGATCGCTGACTTCGGTCTGGCTAGACTCATCAAGGTGGGTACTCCTTTACTTGGTCACCTTCTATATCTTCACGCCAGGAGTGGAAAAGCGAGCGCAACGCACGGTCCTTACATACATCTTTCGCTTCCTCCGCTTTCATTACTTTTTTCATACATGCTTGTCGGCTTCTAACATGATCTTTTGGCTATTGGTTGAATTCACAATAAATGTAGCTTTATTGCAACCTCTGTGGGCGATTGATCTCTGAGAACCACTCTGCCACATAGGTCTCCGCATTTTAGTGATAACTTTAAATTACATGTAGTTGTCAATAAATCTTGAAGGTCGTTTATCAAATCGGTCGAGCAGCTAACGTTAGATTAACGAGCAACAACAACAAACAACTACCGGAAATTGGTTGCAAAAAGTATAATTTGACGATCTAAGTTAATTTTAAACTGAACTCGAAATAAAACAATTAACTAAAGACGTAAAGATTAGACGAGCGTTAGTCCATTACATTGCGGGTCATACAAAAACTATTGTGTTCGTCGTAATTTAGTTTTTCCTTTTTTTTGTGAACATTCGTGTCCAGCCGAGAGCCAGTCAAAAAGGTAATGGAGCTGACGCTAATTCTCTATTGGAACCAGCACCGTGAAATTCACATCACACAATAGTGTTGACGTCAATATGACTTGACGACCATTGTCTTGCGATGGTAAACATTGATCTATTGGTTTTTTAATACTGAAACGCAACGGTGCAAACAGAATATATCATTAGCGGTTTATTTATAGAAAACAAGCGTGAAAGTAATTTGTGGTGACCGCAAATTGCTAATTTTAACAAGCACTTGTGGCTTTCTTTGACCTGACGTGATGTCACTACCACAAGGTCGGTGTCGCTATCTGACGTCACGTAAATGCGTCGGTTCATTCAAAGCAACTTTATTATATTTCCTGTATTATCATCTAATCTTATATTTGTATATCTATTTCGAAGAGTCATATCGACGAGGGCGGGATTCTCGATAGTGAAATTTGGATGATTATTGTTGTACTGTTACTTATCTAATAATATACCTTTGTAAATAAAATTGTAATGTTGAATACGTCACCTCGTGAACGGCAACGTGACGATTTGTATTTGATTGGTCGTTTTAATTCAACATTATTGTTATTTTATTCCTTTAGATATAACTATTATAGAAAAGTATATAATATTAAGTATTATGTTCGAATAACGAATGTTCGAAATATGCATGGTTTATGTTTTTGCGATTCCGTAAAAAATACATAATATTCATTTTAAATATAGGGCACTATTTATTTATTTATAAAGTACCTAAAAGAATAGGTATCCTTAGAAAAAAATATATGTTGCCATTTTAGTTGCATAATTAATTTCGATGACCTTATAGCTGTAGTCTAACATTGCCATAATGCTATTTCTAATACACTACTTAAAGATGACACATCTCCTTATTTGCCTATAGTTTGAATGAGTTTGCAGATATTATTTATTTAGTTTACCCGGCTGCACGTCAGATTTCTACAATATATAGCAATTTTCTGCAATGAAATTTGACATCTACCTTCAATTAATTAAGGTTTAAAATCGAGAGGGGAAATTTGACTTGTAGTCTGAGGTGCAGTTGACTGTACATCAACGTCGAGGCTCATATAAGACAATGAGACTTGAGGTAGCTACATCCCTGACTGGGGCTTAATATGGATCAGTGTAATTTAAAACATTTAAAGATTTCAACTTGACATTTGCTTGCAGGAGGATGAGTACGAGGCGCGTGTCGGTGCCAGATTCCCAATCAAGTGGACGGCGCCAGAGGCGGCAAACTACAGTAAATTCTCTATCAAGTCAGACGTTTGGTCCTTCGGTATTCTTCTTACTGAGCTTGTCACATATGGAAGAACACCTTACCCAGGTAAAATATTTTACCTTCAAGTGAATAATTATTTCTTTGGCACTCACGCACTAGGCTATTCAATTGTTGCTTTAGTGAGATTATAAATAATAAGTGTGTACACACTTACACACTAATGCAAAGAAATGTTCTGCGCGATCACTTACCTTAATATATATGATTACGTTTTATGTTTTAAATGTTTTATCAAATGTGAGAACGCCTTTAAGTCTCAAAAAGCTTCCTGTGCCCAAAACCAAGACAGATCATAAAAGTGTTCAAAGACAACCTAAAAACCAATCGACTGTTATCATCCGCACAGGCATGACGAACGCGGAAGTGATACACCAAGTGGAGCACGGTTATCGTATGCCGTGCCCGCCCAACTGTCCGGCGGCTCTCTACGAGATAATGCTGGAGTGCTGGCACAAGGACCCGCTTAAGCGGCCCACCTTCGAGACGCTACAGTGGAAGTTGGAGGACTTCTTCACCATGGACAACTCCGAGTACAAGGAGGCGTCCGCCTACTGAGCCCGGCCTTCCCTGCCGCCCCACCGACACGCACACTCGCATCATGTAAGCGTTATCATTATTCACTTATCGACGGGGATGCAGGACGATATATGTTTTATAGTTATCTCAAATTAATATGGATTTTTAAATTCTGAAGAATTTGTTATAGAGTGAGGATAAACAATCGCGGAAATATTTCAGATTTCAATTAAATGTAGGAAATATCCAGCTAATGAATAGTGTCAAATTTCAATATCATCATCATCGGCAGCCTATTAATGACAACATTGCGGGGGTAAGGCCCTCTATATGGATGGAATCGAATAGGGAGAATAGGTCATGAAGCACGGAGGAGTTCGTTATAATAAAATTTTGGTAACCCATCCTGTGACCGACCATTGCAAAAGTTGCTTAAAAATGTATCGCAGATCGAGCGCGCTAGCCACTGCGCCATCGAGCTTCTCAAATAATAATTTCATTAAATGAATAAATAATAGTTTTCACTTAAAAAAGAATAAAACTTTAAATTGTTACTCAGTCATCCAAGTAAAGATAGCTACTTTTATGTTATGGATAGTAGGGTCGTTGCAAATCTGACTGAAAATCCATCGTCTCATGAAAATCGCAAAGTTCTCGGACTGATGATCCGGCTCGGAGAGCATCGTTCATTCTTTTCAAATACACCGAGAGAACAGCTGGGAACTGACCGGGACCGACCAGCCGGTTCATATAGATACGGCTGGAAGAACAAAGCGGGATGCGTTCATAATCGAGCGTGTCCTCTAAAAAGATTTATCTCTTAATCCTGAGCAGTCCTAGTTGTGCTTTCGTTTTGTGTGTGAACGAGTAATTGCAACCGGTCGGCTGGACGAGCGCGAAAGAACACGCACAGCCGGTCGACTTTTCTTTTTATTTCACATTAAGAGCATAAGGTTTGCTCTCACGCATCCTAAATAATCAAATGAAATGGAAAAAGTAAACCTTATTGAACTGTTTTAAAGGTGATAAAAATCTGGTCTCCTTTCCGAGCTGATATCTGTTTGAACGTAAACTAATGCGTATATTTTCGTGAGACGCAGCGAATCATCTGTCAAGTGTGCAACATTGAATTTCATATATTTGTCCGTTCTTATATTCCGTGACACTTCTTCAGACAGATTTTTTTTTTACCTTCGTTTATTAATCATTATATCTCGCAACTAAGTGTTTACACGTATTAACATACCGTTTTACACGCATTTTAAACTTACTAACAACACAACCGAACGTCTGCAGTACCTAATTCGGGTATGTTTGATGTAGACACCGGGCCTCTACCACATGCCGCCTGAGCTGCAAATGTTGCACGGCAGCGCGTCAATGCAGCACCTGCAGATGCACGCGCTGGCTGCCCACCACACCACCCTGGGGCAGGTGCAGCAACACCAGCTGCAGCAGCTCCAGCAGCAGCAGCAACTGCAGCAGCAGCAGCAGCTCCAGCAGCAGCAACAGCAGCTCCTTCAGCAGCAGCAGCTTCTTCAGCAGCAGCAGCTCCAGCAGCAGGCGTTGAGGGCGAGGCCCGCGTGCCATCATCACTCGCGTCACGGCACCATCGCCTACCGTGCGCCCTAACACATGACTTTACCGATAAGATCACTACGCACTCGGTGAGACTACCCAACATATAAACAATACCTTTATACTATTCACCTTTGATTTACCAGGAGCTTGCATATTGCTTGTGGTAAATGAGTAATAATAATAATTATGCGAGCCAAATAAGGACTGTCAAACAGTCATCTTTGTTCGCATTCCGCTTCAACTTCAGATACTGTGGTGTGGAAATAATATTATTGTTGTATGATATAACGGATTACGGCCTCACAGACGTTTGTAATTGAACCCTTATTCATAAAATGGCGACGTTTCTATCGTGGTCAGCGTTAACATTACGATAAAAATTGACAAACTTCATATTTACCAAGAAACCCAGAAAATATATTTTATTAATTTTTGATAAATACTAATCATAATTCAAGAATTTAATACATTTATGAAGTTAAATGTATCCAAAAATATTGGGGGAAATTTGTTTTCTTTTCTGTCAGTACTAAAATGACGGCTATGCCATGAAGTTGGTAGCAAACCCGATCCTATTCTTACTTGGCTCGTATAGTTGTTGTCGGTAATAAGATTTTATCGTACAAAAAAAAATGGGGTCAATTCTGTTGTGCAATAAGATCCAACTATTATAGCGCATGGTGAATCTTCGTTTGTGCAGAGCAGACCTACTGATGTTGAAGATAGTCGAACGTACGATGAAAATGTATTAATCTTATTTCGATATGCATAAGATGTCAAATACAAACTTTCTGCAAATCAGGTTTGATTGAAATCAGGCGCTTCGAAATTTAGGTATATCGGTGAGCTACATTGTATCTCACTGTAACGTTCTATGAATTAAAAAATATAATTTTGTTTTATTATTTTTCTGTAGTCACGTGTAATCAGAGTTATAATTATACTCCTGTATACAATAATGTAATAAGTTTACTTTTACTTAGTTATTAACAACAAAAAAAACTGATAGGTTGAAAAAATTCTCGTTTGCGCAACAGAATTGCCACCGATATCGTAAACCGTCTCTAATAAGGAAGACTTTCTAGCGCACATTAACACAGACAAAAGATTTTAAAAACTCGCTTAAAAGATTGACCCGTGAGCGATCAGCAATGCGATTCCGTAAAAAATATGTATTTGTATAAAAGAACAAAACAGTATCGATTGATTATACGTGTCTCAGATATAATAATAATAATTTGTTTCTCTTACACAACAGGATATTCTGTTCCTATGTCATTTCGAAACTCACTTATGCTATGAAAATTAATACCGATTCAAGGTTAAGCGGATATCGCTTTTGAAGTGATTCGAACACCTGAGTGAATTCGAATTCGGGTTTGGGTTATTACAGAATCACAGGGTCGGTATCGGGTTTTAAAACATCTCAGACACGAATTAAAATCTTTTATGATAGAAAAAATCTTTTGCCGTGTTTTAACGAGTGTCAGTTGTTATTAGAGGCGATTATATTATCGATAATACTTAGTCAAAATCGAGTGCAAGTGTATCTTTAATGTACTGTGATGTAAGGGTGCCCGCCGACAGTCACCGCCCAACGCTACTATATGCTTACGGACGACCGATTTGCTACATAATTAGTAACCATTATGATCTTTATATCACATAAACGTCATATGTCTTGGGTCTACACACAAACCCTAACGAGTCACAAAATTAATGTTTTCGTTATGGTCCGTAAGCGTATTGTAAAAGAGTCCGAAAGTTCAATGCTGTTAGTTTGTCCTCCCGTCCTGTAATGTAATGCGCTTGTCGTGATCAAAATGAAATAGTCCGCAACATTCATGAACACTGCAGACAATTTCACTAGAGGGAGTTATGCAATAATAATCATAAATCACCCATTCACTCCTAGGATCTGAATTTGTATAATTTCTATTATGATTATTAAAACGTTAATTCCACATTATACATAAATCGAATGTAACAAGCTTTACTGCGATGTGTTAATCTAAATATATAATTGGAACACCTATGCAGTAAAGCTGAATTTGTTTAAATCTTATTCTAAATAACAACATAGCCAGTCGCAAACTTGTATGTTTACACTTTTATATTTCTGATATTCATCGATTGTGTCGATAATACATCGACAAGCTTGCGATCGCTGGCTGCGTATAGACGTTATTTCGTCGACCGGTTGATAAGTTTAGTTAAGACTGTCTACGATTTCACTTAAATATACTTAGCGTACCATAGGTTAACTTACATTTCAAGTGTTGGATAAGCCTCTTTATGTAGGATGTTTGTCGATGTAACGTGAAAAGTCGAGGAAGCCGCTTTTTAATGTTGCATTGCTTTGACGAATTTGGCGCTATCGACACGTATCGAAAACCGTTTATTTTTTCGCCATCGTTAATTTAGCTTTTTAATGGAACGCAACGTTTGTTTATATTTTCATTTTATAGATATACATGAAATATATCTAAAAAAAAGTATCATTCATATAATAAGTTAAAATCTGAAAATAAATTTAATTTTCAAAATTTCACGGATAACGCTATCTTCTGTCACGCCGTCGCTATGACGTCACGCCCATCTAAAACGAATATCGTTCTATGTATGAATAAGGTTCAATTCACAAGTTCTGATATGAGTAGAGAGGGTCGTGACGACAAGCGCAGTTTGCAGTCACGTGACAATGAGTATAAAATATTTGTTTTCTTTTTTCACAATTAATTTAAGTGATATTATAAATATACTACGCATGATTATCGGTAATAGTATATTAAACACGACCAGAAAAAAAAAACTATTTATTTTCGTTTACTGTCTACATCCGAATTTGCGAGTATACTTTTGAATCAGTAATCCCGGCTCAGACGACTATGCGAGGCAATTGACGTTGATATTAGAGGCTACATTTAATTGGCAGACAAACAAATCGGTTCAGCTAGTACGCAAGACAGGCGGTGCATCGGTGAAGGAAATGCGTGCGCGCTAGTGTGCGATGTTAGGAGGAAATTTAGGTTCGGCAGGGATTTTATTATCGTGTTAAATCTAACACGATTTAGTGAGGATTTACGTTTCGAAGAGGCGCATTAATCTATTAGGTATTTCACTTTCGTATACCATGTTTAATGTAGTATCTTGGTGATAGATGCCAAATAATCCTAATAAAGAACTGAATTTTATATACATATTAACTGTTCTGAGGGTAATTTAGTGTAGGTGTTTATTATTTATGTAACTTAAAGTGGTGAGCTTTCGTTTTAACTCGATGTATCCAAAAGCGTATACCACAGTATTTATTTTCGTAACGTTTTAAAATGTATCTCGTACGTATATTGTGTTCCCTATTATATTATGAATAAAGTACATCTATGTGCTCAACATTAGTTCCGTTCGTATGAATGAATACAAAACTGACATTTCATTTGTGCCAAGACTTTTAGTTTAAGACGAAAGTGTAACGTTGCCACATTTCCGACAGTCAATAACATAATGTATGTATTCCTCTAAAAGATAAGTTAAACAATTGGCCTAAGTAAATTAGTGTTTTTCAATGTGTAGTTTTTGTATTCCTAACTTTTTAGTATTAAATGTGTATTCATATTTATAACTTTGTCAGAACCTTCTGTAAGTTGATGCTGCACTCGGAGGCGGCAGTGTTGCTTATTAAGTTAAACCCGGTGCTTAGTATTTGTGACGTATACACACGTACACGAATACTTTATTGTCACATCCTCAGAACATTTAAAAAGATAGACATATTTATATAAACATGGAAATGAACATTGAATATGAACGACGATTATTAATTTAAATTTTGTACTGTGTCCAATATGTTATTATAATATTGTTCTTTTCACATTCACATGTAAATAGTACTCGAGTTTAGTATTGGTAATGAGTGATATTAGAGTGTTGGTATTAAAAAAAAAATGTTTTAAAACAGAGTATGTCGTTTACAGTAATCTCGATCATTCCAATTGGATCGCCAGAAAAGTTGTGACATAATACTTAAGGACATTATACATATAGCGTTTTATATCACCATGAAAACAAAAATGCAACTGTGTCGCACAAATGATATTTAAAACAATTTAATTCTAATAATAAGGTGCTTAAGTATTTGCATTTCTATGTCACAAATGGTAATTGTCTTTAGACGAGTGATTGATTACTCACTGCCAGAGTTACAGTGCAATTAAAAACGAGATTTACAGATAATATTAATGTTTCATTTTGTATTTATTATAATGTCAGTATTTTTTTATATGTATAGATATATTTATACACAAAAATCATTTTTTATCAATACTCTTTTGTTGTTGTTGTAAATAAGTCATTCTCATTTAACTCGTAACGTAGTGAGCAGTCACTCGTCGATCGGCTACATGTTTCATTGCACTGTGGATAGAGCACGTTAATCTAAGGACATGTTAAATTTGATTGGTCTCGATTATTATATATCTGATTTTGTACTTTCACACATCGGCAATGTGACAATGATTGGCAAAATAAAGTTCCATAATAATACAATGAATTCCAACTGAATTATTTACTTGTTTTTCTCTTATTATTATATAATTTATTTTTTACTGTTTAAGTTATAGCTGTATAATAAATACGCTTTAGGCTTGTAATGCTTTATCAGAATGGCTAAGTTCGCTATCTTATATGGCAATATTATGATTAAATTTTATTAGTTAGCCAATTTTAAAGTATTTTTATTATAAATATATCGCCATCACAATTGAAAAGGTCGCCGAGACTTAGTAATAAGATTTGAAAAAAATGTGTGTTTAGGTATACATATATATATTTTAATTAGAGTTTATTTAGTAATTGTTGCTGTGTTACTCGACATTTATACATGGTTTACAGTAATGTACAGCTTTAGGATGCGTCAGTGATGGTAAGGTGAAGTCGAAAAAAAGAATTCAAGTGGGACTGATGTTAGTTGATACTGTTTGACACGAATGATAAGGTCTTATTACCTCCGAGTATCAATTAAATCTATGTTAAGTTCTCTTACCGGTGTAACACTGTCACGATGCATACAATTAAAATTAATTATTATTATTCTCATTGCTTACGATCTCTTGATCACAAATCGTAACTTTTGATCTCCATTTTATTTATCAAACGTTACGCGAAGTTTGCGTGTGTGATAGTGTGACACCGGCGTCGGTTATTATTATGACTACTATTATATTTCACTTATTTGTATAGTTTTTTTAACACAACAATAAATATAAATGTGACATAAGTTGTGGTTTTATTTATCACCAGATGCGTTTTTAAAAAGATTTCTTATATTCGAATTTAAATAATATTCTCAAAGCGAGCCATATGTTAAAATGTTTCTTTCTCTCATATGGAAACCAATCTTCAGATATGTATAAATATTAGATAACATGACATACTTAACTCAGATCGTAAAAGAAGTTAAAGCACTAGTATTATGGAAATTTGAAATCACTAAGGTTTATTATGCATAATGTTTATTAGATTAATAATAATTGGTGATGATAACAAAACAACAAGTCGAACTGAAAACACTATATACAATATTCTTTTCTTTACATTGGCATTAGTGCTTTTTTTAAATATTTCATTATCTCAATTTGATATCATTAGTGACAGAAGCCATAACAATCATTTTCTAGAAATGAATACTGTTATTTACACACATTATCAAGTAATGACATGTGTTAACTTATCATTCAACAATCTGATCCTTCTCTTATGTTCATCTGTGAAAATATTTTCTTTGATACCGCACAATAATATAGTATCTTGCTCAAGTCTATTCAATATCACATCCACTTTGTTAGAATCGAATTTCACCTTTTTACTTGCTGGTTCACCATCACTTTCATTGTCAAACAAACTGTCTACATCTGCCAGATCAAAATTACTACTACAAGCGTTCTGTGTTTGATCATCAGCAACAGACTTGGCCGTTTTCCTATGTTCGATACATTTGTGTTGATATTCATAAGAGCCAATGGAAGTTAATTGTTCTTCTAAGTCCGTATAATCAAATGGTCTTCTCTCATTTTTAATAAAACTTCGCCAGACCTCTAAAAGAGATTCATCACAGGAAATTATCGAAGATATTCTCATATCTAAATGTTTATTATCATATGCTCTTGCAACCTTAAAAAAATTATTCCTAATAAATTCATCTTGTATCAAATATTTAAATGTTTCGTTGATAATCTTTGTAACTTCCGTATTATTTTCATAGTAAATTGGAGTTGCAGCTAATTTACAAAACAAATCCATAAGTAATAGTGTAAATTCTGTATTTTTCAGCATTATGAAATTCAATATAACATGTAAAATCTGAAAATAAAAAGAAATTTACAGTTAATTGAAAAGTACAAATAATTTATTGTATTTTATCAATACCGCAACCAGAATACTAATAACTAATTAAAATAATTTCTCTGCAAATATGCAGGACCAACAACCAATGACAGAGTTATTTTGTTTTATATTAAAAAAAAATAACTGTTAAAAAAAATAATAACCTAAAATATTTTTCAGATAAATTATTATCTATAGAAGCCGGGGGAGGCGAAGACATAACTTTCACGTGGCGCGAGGTGATGTCAGACGCTACAAAAATCATATGGATCCTTGTGACGCTGAATGCTACCCATCTAGCGTGAAGAAATGGTCGTGAGTGATATGGCAAAGAAAAGAATTCAAAGTGTAAACAAAAATAGGGACAACATATTTTGTCTACGATATAATATTCTTATTTTTTTGTCCGCTTGCTGCTTGGATTGATCTTCTATCAGCCTAAGGGAGCACTAAGAGGTTTTCTTAAATAAAACCATAAACTATCTTTCTCTTCACGCCGTATCCGTTGCGTGTTAGGAAAAATCTACATATGGACCCTGTTAAGCAGAAAGGTTTCAACTGACATAAACGTCATTTTGAGATATTAGGCATCAAAGATTTTGTAACCGCCCTATTTTTATTTTATTATAACTTCGTGTATAAATAAACGTTTGAATTGAGATTTTGCATATAACTAGAAGGCTAATCTAATTTTATATAAATGATGATAATTTTCTGCTATAGTATCCTATTTTACTAGAAAATAATAAAATACGTTCAACACCTTTCTGCTTATACTCGCTATGATTAATAACTTGCATCTAAACAGCATCAAGTGTACTTGAAATCTTTTAACAAATTTAATTATAAAATAAACAATGAGTATATAAAGGATAAAAAAAACTAAAATATTATTATTTAGTTCCATTTATTTAGATATTAATCAGTCTTGAGATTACAAAGTAGGTACTAAGTATTGTTTTACTTAGGCACTAATATTTATTGTAAACATAATCATGTCTTATAAATAATAGATATTTAGACTTTATTTTTAATCGAAATCATTCTACCTCTTCTTGATCGTCCTTCCTTATTATTGATTTGTCCGGGCTCTAAAATTGTATTTTCACTAGAAGAAGGAACTGGTAAGTAATCTTGGTCAGTTGTAACATTCATAACGGATAAGTTGCTTTTCGTGGTATTATCGGTGCAAATAGTTTCGTTATTTTCAGTATTTTTATAAACTGTTTTCTTTTCGGAGACTTCAACCATGTGGCCTTCTACTAGTTCTATTTCTATATTTGAAATATTGGACGACAACCCAGAAAAAAATATGACTACACCTGGATTGATCAAACTGTAGAGTACATTCTAAGTCGGCCTGTGATAATGAAATGTTGGATTGGTCAATTACTTTATGAATTTCATTGCCGGTGGAAGTCAATATTATAGAATTATTATTCTGAATAGGAATTGTAGAAACATTTTGCACTATGATAGAACCTTCAAAAAAGGTTTCAGACTCTGTATTTATAACAGGTAAATTTAATGGAAAAACGACTTGACCATCTCCCGGGTTATATAATACGATACATTCCTGGAATTTGGGGTCTAATATTGAAAAGGAATCTTGGTCTAACGGAAGATGTGCAGAAAATTCCTGCGTACACTCTTGATCTGCTGTAGCGTGAATAATTATGGGATTCGGCACAACTTCGTTAGCGCAATCAAAAGTACCATTAGAAATATATTCTTGAGACAGCATATAAATTGGTTGGTTTTCAATAGAATTTCTACTTTTTGCTAAAGCTGTAACCTCCACACCACAGTTTATAATGTAATGTTCACAATCTTCTTTTGAAAGTAACGGGGTTGTCTGCAAGCTACTTTCATGATTAATCAACATACTAGGACTAGTATTTACTTTTAGTAATTCAATAGGTTGCGAATGCTTTCCTTTAATTTGATTTAAAGATTCGTTTGAGTTATCCAGATCTTCTTGAAACTCTACTTCAATCTCCATTTGTCCTGTTGTTTTATTTTGACTATCACTTGACTTCACGACATGTGTCTTCGTTTTATTTTTTCTACAACAGAGCAAAAAGCAAATTAACGGATGAAATATCAGTTCCAATAACTAGCTGTAAGTACCTACATTGTATCAGTCTATGAGTCAGCACAACTTTTTTTCTTATATATTTTTTATATATTCGTACAAACTACAACAGAATACGAAGAAATATTACTACAAATTCAATACAGTTTCCAAGAAAATGTTGTTTAGTTTCGCAGAAAGTTTGCCCTAAAATTACAATTATCTAGTTACGGTACAAAATAATGAATTTAATCAGATAATGTAGGTACTTAAGTAAGTAGGCAGTAGAAGTAGACACTGGAAAAATAGTTTGTCTTCAGTTACAGCTAGCATATGAACTTACTTTAAGTCGCTGTTTAAGTCAGGCATATTATTAGGTTGTGAATGGTTTGCTTTTTAATGATTTATAGTTTTATTTAAGCTATCCGGATTTTGGTGAACCCCTACTTCAACCACCATTGGTCGTGTTAGTTTACTTTGACTGTTACTTGACTTTGCGACATGTTTTTTAGCTTTTCTTCTTCTACAACAATGCAATAAATTAGTGCGTACACTGTCAGATCCTACAAACTAGCTTATGTCCATAAAAAATAATTTCATGTCCAAAAAACTGTACAACAGTTACTTTAACAACTACTTATACCTACCTACTGAATATCTATCCATCTGACATATTTTCATTTATTTAAAAATGAAAATATGGTAGATGGATTAAACAAATTAAAATCATCAAATTGTAATTTGTTTAATCCGTCATTAATTTAATTAAACAAATGTAATGTAATTTGATTAAACAAATTAAAATTATCAAATTACCTAGTAATTATTAGTATTGAACTTAGGTTTAAGTAAGTTATAAAAGTATGTACCTAGGTAGTAGGTAAACTGGGTACTGGGGAGGGGATATACTTATCAGGAATGGCTTTTGCATGTTAATTAATTATAACTTCTGTTTATGTCAGGCTTAAACTACCTGTACAATATTAAATTATTGAGTATTAAGCCCAAATGCGAAATAACCTACGGCTCAGACCAAATAAAAAGTATAGACGGAGTTTTGCCTAAGAGAAAAGTGAAGCCGACAAAACTACGCCTCGACGTATTCGTACACAGTTTCACGCACACATACATAACGAAACTACGCCTTCCTTATCAGTCTAACTAAAGACAGCGTGCGGAACGTTTCATTATAAAAAAAATCAAAAATTTCTTACTAACTGCCGAATTGTGTAGTAAAAGGTTGTAAAAACCAATCCTCAAAAATAAAAAGCAGGATGGAATCACATTTCACACATAAGTATTGAAGAAAACTTACATTTTCAGTAATTTAAAAATTAAATTTAAGTAATTGCTTGGAACACAAAACCTCAGCCATATATTACCATCGTTAAACGTTATTATTTACCCCAAAATCAGGTAACTTTAATTTTATAAAGCGTTATTTCTAACAAAACACAAATTACGTCATGTATTTTTTTCTTGTTGTTTGGAAATGATTTTAATAATAAATTTTGCATTCAAAATGCTACATAGTGGTCCAGAGCACAGATATTTAAGTGTTAGAATAAGGAAGTAAAAAATAAAAAACGTGTTTAATTTTTTAACTTCTTTATTTTTACTAAACGGGTTTGCATACATTTTTTCATTTCCAAACCGACATCAAAATGTGAAAGAGAAGTGGATTTCAGTCATTCCTAATAGTCGAAATGAACCTTCATGGAATCCAACTTCGCGTAACGTAGTTTGTTCGACTCATTTTAAGAGCGATTATATGTATTGGGTTGGCACAAAAGTAATGAGACACACTAGAAAAATCTATAACATTTCCTTTTTATAATCAATTTTTTCGATAATATTCTAGAATGTTGTAGAACATTCTAGGTACTTCTGGTGTAGGGCATATAAAGCGGTGCTCGCGATTTGTTTAGTCAGTTTGAAGAAAAATGGACGAGCGATAAGTTCGAACACTATACTTATACGAGTACTTGTTAGGCCACAGTGCGCGGGCTGCGGCTGACAATATCAACAATGCATTAGGCGCTGGAAGTACAAGCCATGCGACGGTGTCCCGATGGTTTGACCGTTTTAAATCAGGAGACAGGAGCCTTGAAAGTCAGCCACGCTCAGGGCGACCACCCGCAGTGAATGATGACGATTTGCGCCGCGAACTGCAGTTGAATCCGGATGCTACCACTCGTGAATTAGCAAGCACTTAAATGCAGTCACCACGCCGTGGAACACCATCTGCATGAGCTTGGTTATCGAAAAGTTTTGGCTCGGTGGGTACCGCACATCCTTACAGACGCCAGTCGGGCAGTCCGTGTCGCTATCTGTCAGTCACTTTTGCTGCGACCCCGACGTAAAGAGTTTTTGTCAGATCTGGTTACTGGAGATGAATCATGGATTTATTACGAGAACGATACACGTCGTGCTTTTTGGCTGCCTCGAGAAGAAACGCCACCAACTCAACCGAAGCCGAGTCAAAAGAACCGCCGAAAAATTCTGCTTTGCTGTTTCTGGGATGCGCAAGGCATACTGTTTTATGAGCTATTACACAATGAAACTATAAACGCTGACAAATATTCAACCCAGCTTACCAAATTATCTGCCGCTATCAAGAAAAAACGACGAAGACGAGTCAATGTAGTTTTACTGCACGATAACGCTCGACCTCACGTCGCATCTGTGTTTCGCCGGCAGTTGGAGAACTTGGGCTGGGAGACGATACCCCACCCACCTTATTCCCCAGACCTCGCCCCATCAGACTATCATTTGTTTAGAGCCCTGAAACAGCATTTGCGGGGTAAACAATTTAATGATTTCTCTGACGTAGAGGCGGAGTTGAACAACTTTTTCGAGGCACAGTCATCAGAGTGCTGGGCAAAAGGCATCCAAACTTTGCCGGATCGTTGGCAAGAAGTCTTAGATACTAATGGTAATTACATCATAGACTAAACTTTTTTTATTGTAATAATAATAAAAAAGTAAAAACTTAAACCAAGTGTCTCATTACTTTTGTGCCAACCCGATATTATACTATAAAAGGGTTACGTCGAATAAAGCAAAACTTAAATCCAAAGGTTTCAAACTTTCTATATATTAAAATTTTAGTAAACATAGTGGAAGTTTTCAAACTTAACTTAAAAATTAATTAAATAGTCTCTCTAATGTATGGCCTCCAATAATAATTACCTACTCTTAAAGATTTTAGAATATCTATTCTGATATTGACAAACGAATTTACATTATATTATTAAACAGCATAGCGTTAACGTTAACTTTATAACGTCGTAACGTTAAGTTATTGGGGTGTTTTTAATGACTATGGTCACACTGGCACGCACACTACAATTGCTAAAAATCGGCTTCACTTTGTTATTCAGCGAACTCCGTCTTTACTTTTTATTTGGTCTGAGACCTACGGAATATAACCTACCTAGTTTATTTTTAGTTTTAATACAAATAAGCATACTTACCGTATGCAAATATTCAATTTACCTTCACTGATGTCTTCTTATAAATTATACTCTTCACTTTATCACAATACTTTTAATTTATTACTACTAAAACTAAACACGAAAAGACTCTGATGGCTGTTGCCGGCCGAATGTAAACAAAACAAGTTGAATCGTGTAGATAGATACTTACCTAGCCGTAACGGAAAATGTTATTCGTTTAAAGGTGTCAAATGACACAAATACTAGTAGAGCATACACATATACCCGATTTAGAAATATGCATAAAGATTTTAAGGATCTGTTACAATACTTCTGCAAAACATAAAATTTTAGGTAAAGTTATCGGCATTAAGGTGTCAAAATACACTTGATACCTTTTGACGAAACATCATTTCGCCAAATGGGGTCAAGTAACGTGAGTTCTTTTTGCAAATCTCGAAATGAGCCTCATTGAGTTTTGCATAACCTTATTTATTTAAATATCTCAGAGCACATTATTTTTCCATAGTTGGAACCTAAAGAGTCCGATAGAAATTTTCAATACGAATCCAACGGTACCAATAACTCAATTTTCGATTTTATGTCACTTGAAACCATTTTACAGAACAGGGTCCATATGTACTTTCATTCTAAATTAATGTAACTTAAGGGGCAATAATACGTAAGGTGCCCTAAACGGGCAATATTTTTCTGGAATTGTAATGATGATCTATATACATATATTAAATAACATCACATTGCTCAGATTCCAAGATGAGTAGCTTAAATAATAGAGTATTTGAGACAAACAACGAAGGTATCCCCACACCCAGACCCGAGACAATATAAAAAAAATTCGTCATTCGCCCGACCTGGGAATCGCACTCGGGACTTTAGAACCACTTAGCAACAATGGCCCGGCAACGTTGCAAGAAATGCTAGCCTGGTTAAATGCTAAAACATTGTTATGGCCGATATTCAGTGCCGAATTAAACCAGAACTGGGCCTGTGGCAAATTCGCTCGCCCCCGAACAAGAAAGTCGTCCTTTGCTTTCCGCATAACACAACACAACAAAACTGTGACATGAGTTTTATCAATTTATGTTCATACTGAAAATATTAGTGTAGTCAGAAACGTGGCTTAAATTTACTTCTTACATTTTTAATATCGACTTAAAAATTTAATTTACCGACTCTGAAATATAGCGAGGCTCCTAATTGCGCAGGGACCGTAGCTGGGATTAGTCACATAACAAAAGTAGCAAATACATTTACTGCGTGGCTTATCCGACCCTGCTGATATTGTTAAAAACTGGGATGGCCAGGTATAAGTTGCCGAAAAATATTTAGCATAGCAATAGGACGCATTACTGCTAATTTCTGTCGCCAGACTGCAGCACTGGCACATTTAGTAAACAATAAACGTCAAACATCATTCACAGACTATTGAGCAAAGAGTAAAGAACAGTAAGCATAGTCGGAATTTCATTA